TAGGTGTGATGAATCTAAAATAAATCTTTATTGATTTGATGATAAAAGATGTGTACGAAGAAAAAAATACAAGATATTATAAAAAGAATCTCCCTCCCCCTATTGTTAAGCATGAAGATGGCAGTATCATAGTATGGGCCTGTTTTTCAGCAGATGGTGTCGGAAATATACATAAAATTGGGGGAATAATAAATTTAAGAGAATGTGCAAGAATTTTAGACACAAATTTGGCATGTTCAGCCAAAAAACTTAAATTGAAAAATTACATTTTTCAACAGGATAACGGTTCCAAACATACAAGCAAGCATGTGAGTAAATATTTAATAGATCGAAATATTAACACTATGATTTGGCCTGCACAATCACCCGATTTGAATTATCTTTAGAATTTATGGTCAATTGTTGAGATTAATGTTGCTAAAAGATGACCAAAAAATTAATTACAGGTAGAGCAATTTACTATTGAATAACAAAATAAAATCAATAAAAAACACGTATAAGATTGTTTCAAAGCATGAACAAACGCTGTAGTGCTATTATTGATGCAAAGGGGGGACATACTATATATTAAAAAATTTATTGCGTTTTTTTTGTCCACATTTTTTTAAAAAAAAGTTTTTTAAGGCATTTTTATGACGAAAATTTTAAATAAAAATAATAAATAGATCTAAAAATGTAATTTTTATATGTAATGTAAACTTAATGCAATATAAAAAAGTTCTATACATTCAAATTAAAATTGCTTTTTTTTTGCCACTACTACATGCCCCTAATACCAAAAGGTACCCCCACAAATGGTAGCGACTTTAGGCCTATTACCTGAATATATAATTTTTACAAACTTACGACAAAATGCACTATGAAAATGACGCAATTAATTGTAAAAAGTAGAAAACTATTATCTGTGAACTAACTAGAGACAGTTAAACAAGTACAGAGTGCCAAGGAGCAAGCCAAGATAAGCATAGCCATCAATAAGGAACACGAAACAAGCTAAAAACCACATGGATAGATTTTAAAGCGCCTATAATTCTGTAAACCATGACTATCTACTAACTTTCATAGGCAAA